ATAAGTTTATATTAGAATGTGATAGTTTAATCGTTATAATATACAATATATATAGTAACCTGGTTGATCTTGCCAGTAGTCATATGCTTGTCTCAAAGATTAAGCCATGCAAGTGAAAGTACATATATATGTAATATATAGAAACTGCGAACGGCTCATTAAAACAGTTATAATCTACTTGACATTTTTTAACATAAGGATAACTACGGAAAATCTGTAGCTAATACTTGTAAAATATCTTTTGATATATACATATATATATATATGTATGTATCATTATGGTATGTATTTGTTAGATGTAAGAAGTAAATAAAATAAATATAATTGAATTATAACAAAGAAGGAACACATATTAAAATATAAGTGTGTATCAATCGAGTATCTGACCTATCAGCTTTTGATGTTAGGGTATTGACCTAACATGGCTATGACGGGTAACGGGGAATTAGAGTTCGATTCCGGAGAGGGAGCCTGAGAAATAGCTACCACATCTAAGGAAGGCAGCAGGCGCGTAAATTACCCAATTCTAAAGAAGAGAGGTAGTGACAAGAAATAACAATACAATATCGAAAAATGATTTTGTAATTGGAATGATAGGGATTTAAAACATTCCTAGAGAAACAATTGGAGGGCAAGTCTGGTGCCAGCAGCCGCGGTAATTCCAGCTCCAATAGCATATATTAAAATTGTTGCAGTTAAAACGTTCGTAGTTGAATACCAAAGAATCCGATGTTTCATTTAAACTGATTTGGGGAAACTATATATATATTTTGCTTTTTGCTTAATAAGTTTCTTCTATTAATTATGTTTTTATCAGATATGAAAGTTTCTTTTAAAAATCTGTTCATTTTGCAATTTTTTTTTGCCTTTTGATGGATTTTGTTACTTTGAGTAAAATACAGTGTTCATAACAGACGGCTATACAATAGATTAGTTTCATTGTGTTTGAATACTACAGCATGGAATAACAAATATGAATAAGCTAATCCTTTTTTTTTTCTTATTTTTTTGATATTCTTATTAGCTTAGTTACGATTAACAGGAGTAGCTTTGGGGGCATTCGTATTCAGATGTCAGAGGTGAAATTCTAAGATTTTCTGGAGACGGACTACTGCGAAAGCATTTGCCTAATCTATTTCCATTAATCAAGAACGAAAGTTAAGGGAGTGAAGACGATCAGATACCGTCGTAATCTTAACCATAAACTATACCGACTAGGTGTTGGATGAATATAAAATATATATAAAAACGTAACATTTCTTAGGGGATGTTTATTTTATATTAGATTGCTTCCTTCAGTACCTTATGAGAAATCAAAGTCTTTGGGTTCTGGGGCGAGTATTCGCGCAAGCGAGAAAGTTAAAAGAATTGACGGAAGGGCACCACCAGGCGTGGAGCTTGCGGCTTAATTTGACTCAACACGGGAAAACTCACTAGTTTAAGACAAGAGTAGGATTGACAGATTAATAGCTCTTTCTTGATTTCTTGGATGGTGATGCATGGCCGTTTTTAGTTCGTGAATATGATTTGTCTGGTTAATTCCGATAACGAACGAGATCTTAACCTGCTAATTAGCGGCAAGTACACCATATTTTTAATTGAAAATGCATATAGGTAATTATGCATTTATTCAGTGTTCAAATTAGGATATTTTTATTAAAATATCCTTTTCCCTGTTCTACTATATAATACATTGTATTTTTACAATATATCATTTTTTTTTAAGAATGTACTTATTTGATTGTAAAAGCTTCTTAGAGGAACAATGTGTATCTAACACAAGGAAGTTTAAGGCAACAACAGGTCTGTGATGTCCTTAGATAAACTAGGCTGCACGCGTGCTACAATGATATATATAACAAGTTGTTAAAAATATACTAATATATTTGTATCTGTTGATACTTTGTATTTAATATGTATAGTTTTTCCTGTACTGAAAAGTATAGGTAATCTTTATCAGTATATATCGTAATTGGGATAGATTATTGCAATTATTAATCTTGAACGAGGAATGCCTAGTAAGCATGATTCATTAGATTGTGCTGACTACGTCCCTGCCCTTTGTACACACCGCCCGTCGCTCCTACCGATTGAAAGATATGATGAATTGTTTGGATATGAATTAAAATAATGAAATTTTATATTTCTGATTTTTTCTAGAAGAACTGTAAATCCTATCTTTTAAAGGAAGGAGAAGTCGTAACAAGGTTTCCGTAGGTGAACCTGCGGAAGGATCATTAATATGAAACGATTACAATAAGAAAGAAAAGAAATGTATATTTTTTAAAAAAGGATTTTTAATATTTTTAAATATCCAATTTTAAAAATATACATTTCTTTTCTTTTTTTTTAATGTACTTTTTTTATAAAATAGTAAAAATATTTAAAATATTATTATTACTTTTTATAAAAAAAGTACATTAGAAAATTTGATATTACATAAAATTATTTTTTTTATAAAGATAATTTTTGTGTAGTATCAAATTTTCATCAACAATATTCAATTCTCAATATTTTGCATAATTGTTTGTTTTATATATTATATATTATATACATATATATAATATTTTTGTATGTTAATTATATATTGAAGAAAAGTATATTTAAAATATAATATTTATAATTACATTTAATTCTTAAGTATAATAATTAATAGCACAATCTTAACGATGGATGTCTTGGCTCTTGTAGCGATGAAGGCCGCAGCAAAACGCGATAAGCAATGAAAATTGCAATTACTGTAAATCATCAGAATGCTGAATGTAAATTACACCGATACTATCTTTTTAGTATTACGGTACTCCTATTTTTATTGTACTGATGGCGAGTTATTTTCATGTCCTACTCATCTATATCGCAACCTACTTTTATATATATTTTTTTTTTTTTTAGAAAAAAATATGTGTAAAAGAAAAAGCAATTTAATACAATCTGTCTCAGGCGTTGTGATTTTTTTATGACGTTTAAATAGTATTGACACTAATGTCGCGAAGGAAAAACGTAAAATTGTAATATATTTTATATTTTTTAAATAGGCTTTTCTTATTATAAGATGAGCTTGTTTATACATATAGGTTTATATACTTTTTCATGAAGTATATATATCTAAATGTCCTGTACTATATATCACTGAGATATAACAGTTGTATATTAAAAAATTGGGTTATATGTATAAAGCATATAATTAAAATATTAAGAGTTATGAAGAATGCATACAATAATATATACATATATATACAATATATGTGTATATATTATTGTTTCATAATATCTGAACAACTTTTGTTAGGAAGTGTACATATAGATCTAGCTAGTTGTACCTCACCTCCTCGCTTCTAGAGGGGAATTTGAAAGACAGATAGGCCTTATACAATAATGTTATATTTAATTATGACATTAGCTTTTTAGCACGTATAAGCTCTTACATAGGATATTTCGATATGGGCGATACTTAGACAAACTGGTCGTTTTTGTTTGGCAAACCACACTTACGTCAGTTCTTGTGACCCTGTATCGATCTTGTCACTATGAATAGATATATCGTTTTTTTGTGGCTATATATATATATATATATATATGTATGTATATATGTATGTCAACATAAGATGTATCTATTGAGAGGGACTTTAAGAAAACATACAGTCAGAGGATAAAAATAGGAGGGCAAATCCGCTGAACTTAAGCATATAATTAAGCGGAAGAAAAGAAAATAACTATGATTCCTTTAGTAACGGCGAGTGAAGAAGGAATAGCTCAATAAGTAGAATCCTTCGAATCTTAATGATATATTTATACATAGAATAAAGAATTGAAGGAATTGTCAAGTTGAATTATACTCTTGTAGGCCTCACAGGTGAAATGAATATATAGAAGTAAGTAGGAATACTTCCTCATAGAGGGTGAAAGGCCCGTATTATATATCGTTTCGTGGGTTTTGGAGTATTTATATTTTATCGAGTAGTGTTCTTTGAGATTGGAGCACAAAGTAGTGTGATACATTTCACATAAAGCTAAATATGTACAGGAGACCGATAGCGAACAAGTACCGTGAGGGAAAGATGAAATAGTACTCAGGAATGAGCAATTAAATAGTACCTGAAATCGTTAAGATGGAACGGATTAAGAGAGAAAACAAGTAAAGAGGGGAATTTTTACTTTTTTTTTGGTTTTAATTCTTTTCTTTATTAAAAGAAACATCAGTGATAAAAAAATAATTACAATATAAATAAATATTATTATTAAACATTTTTTTTTTTTTATATATAAAAATTATGTTTAATTTTATATTTATAGTATCCTTAACTAATTATATATATTGAAGGAAAAACTAAATTTATATGAGTTTTGTTTATAGCATTTTAATAATGTTATAGGGAAAAAAAAAATATAATTATTTTTATCACTGAGGATATGTTGTTAAAAATTATATTTATTTAAAAAAAATATAATTTTAAGATGTTTTTAAATAATACTCTTTTAACCCACTCGTCTTGAAACACGGACCAAGGAGTCTATCAAATGTGCAAGTGTATATGATATAAATAAAAACATATATAAAAAATTATACGCATAATTAATGTAAATATCTTTATTAATTGTAGATTTGTGGTGTTTTATTTTTTTTTATAAATTCACCCACATTGCATACAATACCGATAAGCAAATTTTATGCTTCATTGAGTATGAGCATATTTGATAGGACCCGAGAGGCTTTGAACTAAGCGTGATGAGATTGAAGTCAGGCGAAAGCCTGATGGAGGATCGAATTGATACTGACGTGCAAATCGTTCATTTCAATCACGTTTAGGGGCGAAAGACTAATCGAAAAGCCTATTAGCTGGTTATTTTCGAAAGATCTCTCAGGATCGCTGGAGTTGAATTTAATATAATTTTACGAGGTAGAGATAATGATTAGAGGATTTAGGGAAATGTGTGTTCCTTAACCTATTCTCAAACTCCCAATATGTAAAAAGGGTGAGATAACTGAATAGTATTTCACT